GTCGAAAATGCTATAATGTTGGAGTTCACATTATATTAATATTAGCAAGGAAAGAGTTTGCATACGCCTAGTTTCTTCGCATGGCCATCGTTCAACCTTCAAATCCAGCTGTCAAAATGAGTGACTTATTACACGGACTGAAGTTTCTTTAGTTCTGTTCACTGTTGGCTTCACCAACAGGTAACATCACTTCCGAATGTTGCGGGTTCCAAGGAGGTTATCACGGAATGTGTGTCCTAACATAAAGGCAAACCCCGCATAAAACTAGAGAATAAGAGCGCTGCATAGTGATGGTAGAGCTACGGAATGAACTGAAAGTGATAAAGGAAAGCAAAGGAATCATTGGAAATGCTGAAATTAGGGCCTTAATCCACAGTAACGTCGGAAAGTACGATGGCGAGACAGGGCGATCAAAGAACAAAACACGCGAGAGAGCACGCCGTTCGAGAGAGCACGCTGATCTCTATATCAATAGCGGTGGGTGGGAAGCGTTGCAGCGAGGTCGATGGTTGCAGGTTTTTGATGAATTAGCAGCCGCTTTTGGCAACGCAGCTCGTCCAAATCACCAACTAAACTAGTGGGCGGATCGCTTTTGGGGCGGAGTGCTTTCGAAGTCCTGCTCAGCAACCAGCGCACCTTTCGTCGTGAAAGCGCCACACCTCGCTTCCCTGGCAGCCAAGTAACTGATTCGTGTGGTGCATATGCTTCCCCGATGCGCTCCACTTTATCTTAAAGGCAAGATTCGGGATAAAATAGGTGTGGAAAAGCGTTCAGTTATGAAGCTATAGGTGGGAGGTGGTCTGTAAAAGAGAAGGAAAGCAAACGAAACCACCGATTACGCCCCGTACAGAGACCTCCCCTATTTCAGCCACATTCCACCTTGGGATAGAGAAGAGGCGCGTTGGACGAGTTTCACGAACCTAACTCTACTTGCTCCAGTGCCAATGACATTGGATCGCATGGGACCGCTGCCTCAAATGCGCCCGCGCTTTTCAAGCAGCGCCACGTGGCAACCGACAGCGGAGGGTGGGGCTTGCGGACGAAGGTGTGAGTTGCGGGTTGGACGAGCTCCTTGCGATAACGGACCAATACTTCATAACAACAAAAACTTTTGCCCTATCCAACAGCTGCCAAGCTTCATTTTAAAGCAACAGTCTCAGCAGGGTCTGTTGCTTTCAT